GGGGGGGGGGGGGGGGGGGGTTAAGTAAATAAGAAGTTCTATATTAACTAAACGGGGGAAACATGATTTAGAAGTACAAAAGAAAGAAAAGAAAATAAATGAAACAAATAAAAAATGAGAAGTAGGATCTTACCTCAGTTAGACGAAAGGAAGTCTAGAAACTGCAAATCTGCAGCTCCTTCCATCAACTCTTTCTTACAACAGTGAAAGAGAGGCTCTTATGCAACTATTTTCACCGTATGAAAAGCTTCTGATTCATCCTCAACACCTATCACTTATCTACCCTCCTCAGACCCCACTTGTGGAATTGTACTGGGTTGTTGTTGTTGTTTTATGTCCTAGTTAGTAACAAAAGCTAGTGTGGTGGTGTATTGCTTTTTTATTGCTTTTACCTTATCAAGTATAATTGAACTAGAAACTTTGCCTTTGGGATATGTGATTTACTGGATTCATGTGTTCTACTGACAGCCAGCTCGCTTCGGCTGTGGAAGGTGCCCCTCTTTTTGAAATATTTCTTACAGTGGATGATAAAGGCGAATACAGGCAACAGGTATCTTTCTAGCTCACATACTTTCTTTTGACTTGTTGACATCTTCCGTAGATGCTCTGTGGGATGGGACCTTATGGTCAGAGGATGAGAAATGAATAGTCAAATTGTGATGAAATATTCTGAATAGTGAATGCTTGGTGAAACCCAAATAGTGCAAAATGCCCACTAAGGATTCATATAGCTCGCCTGAGCTACTTTAACTGGATATTGAGGTGTAGTTCTTGTTTCATTTTTAGTTAACAGCATGTTGCAATTTATGGATGAAACTTGATGCAAGAATAGTAACAGACATGAATGTCACCATAGAATATCATTGCTCAGACGTGATGATGTTGGTGTGGCCCATGGGAAGACAAGATTGCTCAGGTTGTGAACCATTACCTAAATGTAGGGCTGCCTTTGCAGAGTTCATGGATGGTCTGGCAGCTCTATAAGCTTTTTTCCCATTGAAGATGTGCACTTGATAAAAAGAACTGCAAAAATTGTACACCTCCTTTCCTTATCAAAGAAAAATTGTACATCTCCATTCTGTTTTTCTGAACCAGAATCTGCTCATCTATGCACCTTTTTTAAGCATGCCAAAATATGAAGATATATTTAATTAACGATGGTTTTGATCCTCGCTTTATAATAGAAGTCCTTTTCCTTCCAATAATATTTTCAAATCTTTGTGATCCACGTGATTCCAGGCTGTTTACTTGAAGAGAAAGCCAGTTCAGCAAGATTTACCTATTCCTTCTTCAAAGCTACCTGGTGCTATCAGTAACTTGGACACTCTTAGTCCCACTGAAAACAAAAGTGATATGTTCGATAAGATCTCAGATGCTGAGGAAGATGGTGAAGATAGGGATGACGATTTTGGCTTTCAGAATGCATTGAGAGACATGATTCCGGGGGTACAGGTCAAGGTTTTAAAAGTGACAGCTCCAGGGAAGGTAGATAGAGATCTAATATCAAAGGTCATTGAGCAAATAATGGATGAGGAAGATGAAGATGAAGAAAAGGATTTTGATTTAGACGGTGTGGACGATGAAGATGAAATTAAGGTGGAAAAAGATGGTGAGCAGAATGTGATTGAATTGGATACAGATAATGGGGTTAGTAATGGTGAAGAGCAGAGCCAAATTGCGGTTAGGGTGGTTGTTGGTGGTCTTATGCAAAATACTTCAAGTGGTGTACAGCGTAAAGACCTTCTTCGAGTACCGGCAAGGCTAGAGAAGAAGGGTCACCTGTCATTTACTTTCAGTATAGAGGAAGATGAGAACAAACGCAATTCCTCTGGCAGTGGACAATCTCTCCCAGATAAAAAGGCTAGGCTCCAAGGTCAACGTAGCTTGGATCATGTGATGCTTGATCTTGCAAAGTTCATCGGCAAGGGGAAAATACCTATGAAGGTCAGAACTCTTTTATATTGTCATTCAAATTGCAAAGTTTATAATCTTCTCTTAATAGTTTTCCTGATACATGCAGGTCCTTAAGGATATGGGGGAGTTGATCAGCCTCACTCTTACTCAGGCACGAAATCGTCAACCACTGTCGAAGTCGACCACCTTTAACCGCATTGAGATTTCAGCATCTCCGGACCCACTAAATGGTGATTAATCTTCAATCTGTTTCTCTCCTTTAGTTTCTTCTTGCTGTTTAGATTGCTGATTTTCCGTTTTCTAGTTAATATATGCTTGTTTAACTAGTGCAGCATCATTGTTTTTCTACTCACTCTCATTCTTAAGTTGGTCAATCATTTACAATTTTTATCAGGATTATATATTGGTGCTCATGGTCTATACACTTCGGAAGTCATCCACCTTAGGCGAAGATTTGGTCAGTGGAAAGAAGACGGTAGCCCTAAGGAGTCTTCACGTTTAGAGTTTTACGAGTATGTTGAAGCTGTAAAATTGACTGGAGATTCTTATGTGCCAGCTGGTCAGGTAACTTCACTTGATTCTAAAAGTTGTGCATATAATCTATCCTACAGATTTGTTGGAGGTAAACTCGCGCTTTTTTCTTTTAAAATAAGTTAGGATGGCTGAGATCATTCATTCTGGCTGGAGTGTAGACATCTCTGTATCTGACTGGTAGAGACTAGGGAAGGAATGATAAGCTGGAAAGAAAAAAAAAAGCAGCCCTGATTTCTATGCCTAAATCGAATAGGTATTTTGCTAATCCGTTGAGCAATGAGAGTGAAAATCTACAGTGTCTAGTATCCTGCATTTGTGTATTTTAGTACGTGTACTTGTAGAAACTTTTCTTGCCTTTGCTTTTGGAAATAGAGAGGGGGAGAGTGCGATGGAGTGGTGTGCGACCATTAATGCCTTTCTTTCTAATTTGCAGATAGCATTCCGCGCAAGAATTGGAAAAAAATATCAACTTCCACATAAAGGGATTATTCCAGAAGAATTTGGTGTGGTAAGTGGTTCTAGCGAGTTTAGATTGTGCACTATTTCTTGTCATTATTTGTTTTCCCTATCTTTCTTTTTGGTTGCTTAACTTAGTATCCATAGCTCTGGATTTTATGATATATCGGTCTATTTCTCACATTTTAGGCTGATGTTATCTCTATTGCCAATGCAGATTGCTCGATACAGGGGACAAGGAAGGCTGGCGGAGCCTGGTTTTCGAAAACCCAGATGGGTTGATGGTGAACTGGTTATCCTAGATGGAAAGGTTTACAGCTCTCTATATAATGGCGCCCTTTGACATTTATTTTGTTGTCACTCTATACTCTTTAACATTTTTCTTAACTTATTCCTGTTGAATTATGCAGTACATTAAAGGAGGGCCTGTTGTGGGTTTTGTCTACTGGGACCCTGAATATCATTTCTTAGTGTTCTTCCATCGGCTTAGGCTGCAGGAGTGAACATCTCTGTACATACAGTTTGTGGCTGTTTATTCCTGGTTCAGTTCTTTGTAGGTATGCCCTTTGGCACTTCTACTTCCCAAATTGGCTCTTTTGTTACCGGGAGGAGAAGTGCTGATGAATTACAAGGGTGTTTTTTGAGGGACCTGTATGATTAATCCTACCTCACTTTGATCTCTAATCTCATAAGGTGATTGCTTCTTTCTCTGTTCCTTTGCAGTCAACATGATATCTATTACCACGAAGCGTTGTCAGTTTGAGCTGAAGAGAAGATTCAAAAATTCGTTCGTGGCCAGAATTAAGCATTTAAATTTTATGGAACTAACCAACAATTTTTGAGTTGATGACCCCAATATTTTCCCTGATATACCAAATGTTCAGGCCTACCGGTGATTTCTTGGGCACTTAGCTTGTACATATGCTCTTTATGTTATTATTCTTTTTTGCTGCTCTTTATGTACTATTCCCCCCCCCCCCCGTCGCTCGTCGTCTGTCTGTCTCTCGCTCGCTCTTCATTCTCTGTACTAGTCGTATCTGTAGTACTGATGTGTCTAGTCTAGTAGTCTTCTGTTCTGTATTCTAGTCTATCGTCTAGTCGTACTTGTAATCTTCGTGTGTACGTCTGTCTTGTCTGTCTCGTACTTACGCTGTCGTGTTACGTAGTACGTTTACGTGTTCGTACGTACGTTAAACGTACGTTACGTACGTCTTACTACTGTAACTTTCGTAAACGTTCGTTACGTTACGTACGTTCTTTACGTTTATTATACGGTCGTTAACGTACGTACGTACGTACGTACGTACGTACGTACGTACGTACGTACGTACGTACGTACGTACGTACGTACGTACGTACGTACGTACGTAACGTAACGTAACGTAACGTTAACGTTAACGTTACGTTTACGTACGTACGTACGTACGTTACGTACGTTACGTTTACCGTTTTACCGTACGTAACGTAACGTACGTACGTACGTACGTTACGTTACGTTACGTACGTACGTACGGTACGTACGTTTACGTTACGTACGTACGTACGTACGTACGTTACGTACGTACGTACGTACGTACGTTTACGTTACGTACGTACGTTACGTACGTACGTACGTACGTACGTACGTCGTTACGTTACGTTACGTTACGTTACGTTTCGTTTCGTCGTCGTCGTCGTTACGTACGTACCGTACCCTATTACCCCCCCCCCCCCCCCCCCCCGGGTGGGCGTTGTTGTACTGTTTTGTTGCTAGCACCTCCGGCTACTCAAATTTTATTCTATCTAGTAGAATCTGAAGATAGATGGTATATTGGCAAATGTCTTATTGTTCTGATTTCATGATCCATGGCACTTGAATTATCTGTTGAGCTGCTGCTTCTCAGATTTCATGCATTTTGAGTAGGAATTGTTTTCGCAGTCTAAAGAATGTTCTTGCAACAGCTGGATACTTTTGGTTTTGGAGCGTGTATTTTAAACGACATGGACAAGTATGGTTCCTAAACACGCACAGGCAGATAATGACACCATTTGGTTACGAACATGTTCACTAGATACCACCAGATGCTAGCAATAGTCTGAGATATGAACAATAGAATCAACGAATTTTTGGTAATGTTGTATGGTTAAAGCTACATACGATATATCAAAGCCTTCACTATTTCATTTAGGCAATGTACTGGACACAACATACACGGCAGTTTCATCCATGATTATACTCTAGAAGAGTAAAACTTGGGTGTTGATCTAGTGGATAGAGCACATCCTAACTTATTATTTTCATATGTATATACATGTAGATCATATTGTAGCATTATTGTAATCATAGAGACTGGTGACGCACAGAAACCATCAGCATCTGCTGCATATTTCCTGAAAATACAGAACCCTTTCAATATTACAGGTGGCCAAAGAAAAGATTGCAATATATCATGGTTTCTTCAAGCTGTTGAAAGAGACTTCTCTAGCTATTTTAGCACCCCTTTCCTTGGCCATATAAAGTCCTACATGATGCATCAGCTCCTGCACGCCCAAAACAATAAATTGAGACACTCAGAAATTTGTATTAATCAAGATCATAACAGCAAATTCTTGATCAGGAGGTCACGGATTCGAGCCGTGGAAACAGCCTATTGTAGAAATGCAGGGTAAGGGTGCGTATAATAGACCTTTGTGGTCCGTCCCTTTCCCGGCCCTGGCGCATAGCGGGAGCTTAGTGCATCGGTCTGTTTTTTTTTTTCATAACAGCAAATTCTTGACTTGTTATAAGTCACCTGAGGATGTGGTGAAATATCTTTGGTGTTTCTAGCCATTGAGGCAGGAAAATCAAAAGTGGCACATCCATGAGAGTAAACTACTACTTCCTCCAAAGGGTCGAGGAAGCCGCGGTTCCTAGCTGATAATGTAGAGCAAACGAAATCCAGCACACAAATGTCTGTACATACCCCTACAACCAACAACTTAATTCGAATAAACAAACAGTCAGTCAATATTCTTCAACCATATAAACTTGAATATGCTAATGACTATCCAGTAGGAAGAAATTTTAGAGAAGCAAACAGGGAGCATACAGTTTGAATTTTGTTGTTTTTCACCCAATCGACAAATACATTAGAGCCGTCCTCCTTAAAAGAACCAATATAGCCATCATAGCAATCTTTACGCCTGATTGTTACGTTTTGTTCCTTCTCCAACCATCTTAGTGCTGCAGAGGTAGGTAAATCATCCAACAATCAGTACAAATAAGACAATAACTTTACTTCAAATACTGTAATATCGTCAGATGAATATTGCTGCAACTTCATACGTTGTATCTTTAACTTTTTGTATAGTTTCTAAATCTCAGAATATTATTCGACTTTAACTTATATACACTGATGATGGTGTGATTTTCCTAGTTACTAATTCTTACTTTTTTATGGTGGTTACTTTATAGTTATCTTTTAGATATCTTATACGGTAAATATTACTCCCTGTGTTTCAAAAAGATTGTCTTAGTTTGACTTGACACAAACTTTAATATAGAAGAAAAAACTTTTGAGATATGTGGTCTTAAATAGTAGTAAGTCATAGCATTTGTGTGGCTGTAAAACTTTTGAAACTTGTGATCTGAAACCTGTTATATTACTTGTATGGTTATAAATGCTTCTTATTAAGAAAATATTGAAAGGTGCCAATCTTTTTGAAACAGACTAATAAAGAAATAGTGTCAATCTTTTTGAAACATAGGAGTAGTACTTTACATTGTCGGCTATGTTGCTCGTACTCTCCGAAAATGTCGCTGGGTGCGTGTCGATCCTTCAACTATGGTGTATATTCGGAGGATCCGACACGGGTACGGAAACATTTTGGAGAGTCCGTACAACATAAACGGTCGGTGTATAGAAACTGAACTTGAACTAAGCTATAGTCCTTGGCTAGTAAGCAGATAATACCAGGAACCAAATTGGATTCATCAGTGCCAGTGATACAGTGAGAAGGATAAGGGTGTTCAAGTTTGTGAGGAGGGTGTGAATCAAGAAAGGCAAGAATAGGCCATTTCTTGTCACAGAATAATCTAGCCAGCCTTGTTGATTCATCAATCATTTCACAGATCTGCCTGTTTGGCTCTCGTGGTGCCTATAATAATAATTAACAAGAAAATTCAATTAAATCAATTGGGCAAGTAGCTATAGCTAGAACAAATTAAAGAGACATGGAGCTAAATAAAGAATAAATTTATAAACCAGATTTCCAGCCCCAACAGTGCAAAAGCCATTGATGATGTCCACAAGAACAAGACCAGCCTTAACATCTTCAGTGATGATCACTGATTCCTCCTCTATGGGAATTTCATTCTTCAAAATATCTATTGTTTTTAGTACCATCTTTGTTCTTTCCAAACTTTAATAATTTTCTTATTGTGGGAAAGGGTTATAGAGTGATATTTATTAGAATACTGAATGATTATCTAAGATTAGTCCAATTACGGTGTCCCACCACTAGATGCTGATATTTATCGAAAGTAAGCTGACTTTTCCACTATAAGCCAACTTAATTTTGCAAGGATGCGTGCTGCCTTTTGCATTTATGGGAATATTTTAAAATGACATATTTTGAACTTTAAAACATTTAGTGACACGTTGTCATGTCTAAAATTTAGTACTATAATGATTTGAATTTGAATTAAAAATGAATATACATGATTCATATAACTGATTCAATTAGTTCGGAATTAAGGCTTACTTGATTGTTGGATACGCTTTCAAGTCTCATATAGAAGAAAGGGTCATTTTAACTCTCATTTCAATTCTAAATTAAGAATCCAACTATAATTAAATTCGTCTATAAATATTCAAAAAAGATAATAGTACTTTTATTATTCTCGTGGCTGGGAGACATAATCTTTTAGCTCTATTAATCTGAAAAAAATTTAGGAGGAGAAATTAAAGTAAAAAGAGTCTTCGTTCACGGTAACATCTGAGGAGGATAGTGTGTAGGCAGACCTTACCCCTACCCTGGGACTGTTTCCGATAGACCCTCGGCATTCCTCTCTCCAAGAACTCCCCACCTTGCTCTTGGGGTGACTCGACCTCACAACCTCTTGGTTGGAAGTGGAGGGTGCTAACCACTAGAGCAATCCACTCTTGTCACCACATCTAAATTGTATATAGTATTATAAGAGTCCGAAACCTATATGGCAACTTTTTGGACTCAAAACACGTTTCTACAGTTTAAAAAAATACTTTTCTACCTAAAACGCGGTATTATGCGATGTTTTACTTTAACACAGTATAATACCGCGTACCCACAGATCTCTGCTAAACATATTTACTTATATAGAAGCCACAAACTTGAGGAGCTTAGGGTCGTCTTGCTCCAGACAGTGCAATCTCAACTTAAAATCGGTGAACCTAAGGGCCCCACTAAAGGGCCCCACCCTCTCCCTTTTCCGTTTTTTGTCAAAGCTACAATTGTTCTTATTTAATGTAATTTCATCAACTCCAACCCATAAAAACTTTTATATCTTTAATTTTGATGGCTTTTGGGTCCCAATCATTTTTAAAAATTTCCTATCAGTAAATATTTTCATTTCACCTCAAATCGTGATCCCAATTTTCAGAAGTGCAGTGGATTTAGATAAGAAACTGTATAAAAATGCCTAATGGCAATTGTCAAAGAGATCGAGTCCACCATAAAATGAAAAGGAAGTATATGTGCCATTACTTAAATACACGTGACAATATTTCTGTAAACAGTAAACACACATGAAAGTTAATAAAGCAATTGCGATAAATCATTTGTGGGTATCAATGAGAATGCATAGCTTGGACAAGGACGACCCATGGATAGTAAAATTATCAAGTATTTTGTTATAGAATATAAATTTTAATTTGAGCAAATCAAATATAAGTATTGTAATCTCATTTTTCAACCTGAAATTTTCTAATTGAAAAGTCATTTAATAACAAAATTAGTGTATCTGCCTTAACCTCATGTCATTACGTATTTATTGGCGATACAATTTTTTGGCAAGTACTATCTAAGTCACATTATATCAATGCGTTATTTCAAGTGAAATAATATTTTTCACTTGCAAATCTTGAATTTTTGTTTCTAGTAAAATTAATATATAAACACAACTTCAGCTTTCAAATACCGTTTTTCTACTTGAAATTCAATATATTATTTTCCAGTTCAACAAAAATTCAAGATTTGCNAAATCCAAAGTGATTAAAGTTCGTTAGGAAGTAAATTATTAGTGGGATTAATGTAGTACTACTACATTCAAATAGATATCCTCAATTAATTCCTAAATGTTAAAGAGGTAAATCCAAATCTGTCTTCGAAAATATTTACTGATAGGAAATTTTTAAAAATGATTGGGACCCAAAAGTCATCAAATTAAAGGTATAAAAGTTTTTATGGGTTGGAGTTGATGAAATTACATTAAATAAGAACAATTGTAGCTAGGATTACCTAGGAAGAATAGGTGTTAACCTAGACACAAACTGCCTTATTTGTAGAACTAATGAATCTATTCTCCACATTTTTTGAGATTGTAAGGTGGCAAGGCATTTTTGGGCATCTATAGGTGTCCCTTTAAACAACCCATTGCCACAAGAGCATTGGGTGGATTTTCTAAAGAACAGATTTCCTAACATACCAATCAATCTCATCACATGGGAAGAAGTTCTTCCGTTTGCTTTATGGTCAATACGGAAAAATAGAAATGAGAATAATATTAACAACACTGGTAACAAAATAAACATCGCCAAAAATGTTTAACCATGCTCTGGAATATTTCTTATTAGCTACTCCACACATTACAAGTAATAAATCAATTAAGGTGAAGGTCAAATGGCATCCACCTCCTAAGGATTGGTACAAGATTAACGTAGATGGAGCTTTCAACTAAGAGAACTTGCATGGAGGCATCAGTGGAGTCATAAGAAATAATAAGGGAGAATGGATGATGGGTTTTTACACAAAGTGTGAAAGTATATCACCAATCCACACAGAGTTGCTAGCTTTTCGACAAGCTTTGCAAACAATTATGAAGGAAAATTTCATTCCGTGTGAAATCGAGACGGATGCTACGGAGGTAATACGATTCCTAGAAGAGGATTATCCTACTTACAACACTCTACTTTATGAATGCAGGTACTTAATGGAGAAGCTAATGGAGAGGGGGGAGATCCGAATGAAGCATAATTTTCGAGAGGGTAACAGGGTGGCACACCATTTGGCCAGGGAAGCACTACATCAACCTAGCTATAATATAATTAGCTATTTTGCGGAACCTCCTAATTTTGTTAGAAATGTTTATTTCAAGGACAAGGATGGTTATAATAGTTTCCGGACATGTAGTTTGTCGGCTTGCAATAATTTGCTTCACTAGGGAATGATAGTGCCCTAGGTAGCATGGAACAAATATGTAATCACGGTGGATCAATGGGACACGTTCCCTAAAATAGCATCGTGGAATGTTATTATTAGTATTAATATAATATCTTATCTTTAACCTTCAAAAAAAAAGAAAAGGAAGAGAGTGGGGCCCTTAGGTTCACTGATTTTAAGCCATGTGTATATGTATTCTTGAGATACAGTAAGGAACCAATGAGATTGCACTGTCTGGAGCAGCTGTGGGTAAAACGCAGTATTATACTGCGTTATATGTAAAACAACGGCTAAAATTCCGTTAAAGTAAAACGCAGTATAATACCGCGTTTTAGGTAGAAAAGTAACTTCTTCTTTTTTTAATTGTAGAAACGTGTAGTCCAAAAGGTTGCTATTTAGGTTTCGGACTCAGTATTATAATGAAATTATACACAATTCATATTACTGATATCAGGGGCAGATCTACCTTAGGCAAAGCGGTCACGTGACACCACTTCGTCAGGATATTTTACTAAATATTTGTATATGATTTAAATGTCGAAACAGAAATTACAATAAATAAAATAAAGTGACACCACTTGACAAAAGGAGCCGAGCAGGTCGGCTGGTCAAGCGCTTCAGTTTTAGAAATGAGGTCGTGAGCTCGCAGGTGCATATAGCTTTCATTTATTGTATTAATAATAATAATAATAATTAATAATTATTAATTTTGTCCTTAACCTACAAATAAGATACACCAGCTCGGTTTGAGCTATTAGTTGTTAGTCATATTTGCTTGCTTCAGCAACATAAAATTATTTGAAAATGAAAGGACGATGGACTATTATTATTTTTTCCGTTCATCTTTATTCTCGACCATAAAATTGATAAAAATAATTTGCGATATCAAATGAATGATGAGTTTTTAATTGAATGTTTGATGCCTTATGTAAAAAAATATTCTAATGAGTATATTTTGAATGCATTTCAAAAAATGAAAATTTATCAAGAAAATTTGTAGTAATATGCTTGAGTTATTAATATGATTCCAAGCGAGTTCTTTTTTTAATAGATTTATTTACTTATTCTCAGTTTAAACTGGTGATACTGCTTACTAAAATTCCTGCGTACACCACTTACTGATATAACTAGTTCAAATGGAGGCTTTTTTGACTTTTTGATACGCTTTCAAGGCTACAGATCTCATACATACATTTTTAAAATGAATAGAAGAAAGGGTTATATAAAAACTCCCATTTCAATTCCAAATTAAGAATCCAACTTTAATTAAATTCCTATGCATATATTCAAAAAATATAATAGTCGTTAATTCTGCCACAGGGACTTGCATTCCTGTATTAGTATCTTTTTTTTAACCTCTTTTGATCAACCTTTGTCAACCCTTTTCTCCGTTTGTTTGTAAAATTAGTTAGTATTTCTTACTATAATCACCGCATACTAGGGGTGCATATATACTCTAGTAAATATAAATCCGAACCAAGTAATTTCAGTATGGTATTTGTTACTATTTTAGTATTCGGTACATATTTGGTATGCATTTAAAAAAACGATGTTTGGTATGATATTCAATATTTATTAAAAAAAAAAATCAAAATACCAAATATGACACGGAGTATAAATTAATAAAAGGCCTAAATAACATCCTACATTTAATTGATTAGCGGATAGTAGAAACTCATGTTGGGTTTTTTATATTTAATATATTAAATACATAAAAGAGGGTGCATGGGAAATGGAGGTAAATGAAATTTTTGAGTGAAATTTTAAGTTTCCCCCTTGGCAAATGGACATTGTCCCATATTGGAAGAGGAAGAGGTTTTTTATGGGTATATAAGCAATTGCTCTTCTTCTAGCTCTTAAAGAGTTGAGAAGAAGGCAAGCCTCGCGTCGTCGTCGCTCGCTCGGCTTCGGTTTCGGATTTGGATTTGGTCAAATGATCGATTGATTGATTAACTTTATGGACCAAAATTATTTGTTGAAAGTAAAATATTAACAGAAATGTTATTAAATATTTGTTTTAATAACAGAATATTAATATTAAAATAAA